CTAAAACGAGTTCACGAAAAGCTTAGAGTGGGATTAGAAAATAAAGGATCCAATCACTGAGAGCATTTCCCCCACTAAAGCACTCTCACATGAATCTCAGAGCACTAAGCTGCAGCAGTCTCGTGCTTTCATAGAGGGACTCAGCCAGAGCAGCTACTACCACAGCTGAGGAACATTTCTGAACATCCACACTCCTGAATATTCAGGGAACAGCCCTGTCCTCTGCCAAGCCATATTCTTGCAATAACACAACCACCTTTAGTGTTTCACCCAGGGCAGCTTCAGGGGGTGGAAAATAAACACAAAGCAGACAGCAACATTTTTAGGATCACTCAATCTTGCATCAAATTCTGGAACTAGCTCAGCCAGCATCGAAGCCCTCAAGCCACTGCAATATCAGCCCTTCCGCCCCACAGCCCAGTGTGGCCATCACAAAGGTCAAGAACAGTATATCCATCTCCATTTTTGCCTTTATATAGTTTTTATGTCCCACTTGCTTCTCTTCAACCATTCTGCACAGTAGCCAGCGAATTCTCACACATGCTGTCTATTCTCAGTTTAAACATGCACACTAACACCTAAACTTAGGCAAGTTGTAGTCATAGACAAGTGAGGCAATGAATGCTCCCTGGAGTAAGTCAATAAAATAAATTAACCAGCCTCGAGGCTATATTAAGAGCTGAAGTTAACCTTCACTTTTCCCTCCACTTATGTATGCACATATGAAACTCTGCACTTCACCACATCCAGTAGCGTCCACGCACTAGAAGCGCATGTGAATGACCGTGTTCATGCACTTCATGTAGCAGCTCCTGCCACCGGATAGAACCCAACTGACAGACCTTATGATTGTTGTGGCACACGGTTAAACCATACTGCTATGACTTAGCAGGAGGTCTGACATTTTCCCCTAATGGTACTAACCAGATTCTCCCACAGTGTCGTTCCAGCTTACAGCCTGCCTACCTGAAAGGAAGCCACTCAAAAACCTCCAACAGATTGAAGAGAGCCCTTTAAGCTGCATCTACCTACAGCAGGAGGGTCCCATTCTGTAATAAAGATCACAACATTGCACAGTCCAATACTCCAGTACATTAGTTTCCATCTGTACTATGAACAGAAACCATATTCTCAGTGCAGATCAAGATGGAGCTGGATGTGTGTGAAGTAGTAAATACGAGCAAAATGCTGCTGGAAGAAGCTTGAGCATTGTGTAGCAAGTAGTAGTTAAGGAGAGCTTTATTACCATGACAAAAACCAATTGCTATCTTTACTAAATGAATACAGCTATATAGTCCTAAGAAGCCTCAGAACTATTAAGAATGGTTTTCTTTAATTCTTAGTTAGTGGAAAAGTACTACTGAGAAGAGAAACTGGTGTTTTCAGAAAATTATTCCAGTTTCCTAACCAGGTTTGTTGGAGCTGTTGAAACACTGATCTGGATTACCAAGTATGGAGTAATGGTAATGCTAAGTAAATAGAGCTCTCTTCTCCTGACACTTAACTCTTAAATTAAGCAGTGAATAGTGTTTGTAATTAATAGACCAGCAGTCTAGAGTCAGTAACACAAAGCTGAGCCAGTCTCCCATATCTAAAAGTTACAGGATCATTCAAGAAACTAATAAATAGACCAAGTCATTTCTGTACTCTATAGTCTGTATCAGATATGATTCATCCATAAAATGAAAGTTTTATTCAGTATGTTTAATGTTCAATACACTATTATAAACGGATTATTTAATGCCCAGTTAGATTGGCAATATTAATACCATTTTATTTTACGCTTTATGGATTTTCAAAACATGTACAAATAAAATTACAAAATTCCATTTGCTAAAGTTTCTTCAGGAATATACATCAAGCGTGATCCCAGCACACAGATAAGTGACTTTTACAGAGAGCGTTACAGAGCAATAAATGCTAGTGAAACAGCCAGTCTTTCCAGGTACGCTACAATGAAAAGAGTTTCTTTCCCTTTGCCACATCCAACATTTGAATAATTTTTTTTTTTTTTTAAATAGCCAGGTCTGAAGTTAAAATGTGTAAGTAAACTGACTGTGGAAGTCAACAGGCACTCAGAAGCCCTGAAAGGGAGAATACGCAATATTTTTCAAGTTCACCAGTTCAGGGGTAAAAATCCCTGAGACAGAAAAAAAAAAACCCACAAACCAACCCATTTTCTCTGATGGAAAGATGTTTGTCAAGGGACATAGCCAACAGACAGCCATGAAGATAAACTGTAAGACTGAAGAGCAACAGCAAGACAGAGCAAGGAAACCAATGTGTAATGCTAGGTAATGAGGAATGCCTTTCTGGGGGAGCATGGGACTTCACCAAGACTGCCTACTTGCAAGAAAAATATTCAGCAGAAGTATACGCAGAAATACAAAGCATGAGGTACATACATGCTAACCTTGTCATTAAGATGGGAAAGACTTATAGCATGTGTCAAAAACTATAATCCCTCTCAATTATAAACAGTATACAACTGACCTCAAGAGTTAAACAAGAATGACATATTGCACCCCAATTTCAAAGTCACCACCAGGACATTTATTACTTGAAGCCAGTAGATTAAGAAACACAGATCCATATATACATGTATTTTCTGTTGCTTGATGCCAGTGCAGAATTGCTCAGCTACAAGTGTTTAATAGACCAGGTCATTGAATTCTCTAGGACCTGGAAACTGATCTCAGAAGCAGCATGCCTCTGACCTTGCACCTCAAGTCCCTGAGCTGCTGCTGGACATCAGAACAGCTCTACTGCTTCTGCTTTTTATGAGTCATACCCCAGCAGGGTCCTGTTCCTTGCTACATGCTGTGACAAAGGTCCCGACTGCATCTTCTTCCTTAAGCCTACTGTGCATACAGAAGTTGCACCATTGAATTACGACGCTGTCCTAATTTTCAATGCTATTTAACATGTAGGCAGGTCAAGCTAGCTAGATCAAACATAAGCTCACAAACACACTGTTCACTAATCTGAGCCTTCAGAATAATGGAAGAAAACTGCAGTACTTCCAGGTTTTTGAAACATCCAAAGCATTAAGAAGCCTGTTACATCTGAAGGACAGATAAAGCACCACAATACACAACACTTGCAGGATAGTGTGGCATAAATGGTGAAAGCAAGTCAAAGCAGACTTCAGTCTAATCTAAAGATCTAATCCTAAAAGTTAAGTATACTGGTTGTGAAACCTATATTAAGTCTATGGGCAGCTACAGGTTTAGAACTATTAGCAACTAAACAAGAGTTTTAAGAGCAATCTTTAGGTTCTGACCTAAAGATCTATTAATTACCACTGTGGAGGGATGATCTAGTTTGAAGTCCGATTATCTTTAAACTACCTAGAAAGCAATCATCATGCTTATGCGAGGCCCTCATGCCAGCCACACCTGCTCAAAAGCAGGGCAGGACTCTAAAGAACAGATGTTGGTAGCATGCACCCTGTGCTATTTTAACATTGAATTTCTTTATATTATTTATGTCACTTCCTTAAGAGGACAGTAGTTAAGCCAAGCTACCCCAGCCCCACTTCAGCCCAACTGTGCATCCAGTTACAAGCTTAATTTACCAGAACAGGAGTGGCAAGTTCTCAAGAGATTTGCTGATGTGTTACTTTATCAAAAGGCCTTAGGAAAACAGCAGCTACAGAGGAAGAACACGTCACCTTTCCCAGCAAGGCATTCTCCAGTGTGCTCATCCTAAGGAAGAGACAAACTGTTACAGCTTGATTTGTGATAGCTTTCCCTCTAAAAGAACATTGTATTAGGGCATTTGTTCCACATAGGGCTGTGCAGTTTTATGGAAGGACTGCTGTTCCAATTCTCTAAATGGACTCTCCAGACTTCAGGCTTTTGCCCTGGATTTAGGTCACTAGTAATTGGACATGTGTGGAAAATGCACAGGCTCAGTTCAGTGTTGCTTAATTAATTTCTTAGTCTGTTGATTTGGCAGCCATCCTACAAAACAGAACAGTTGGATATTTAAACGTGTATTGAAGAATACATTATGACAATAGCAAGCCTCCCAAAAATAAGCCCAACTCTTTTGGTACTAGTGAAATAAATATTTTCAATTGCCTGGAGTACAAAGCGAAATCAGTTTTAGTTGCTCAGGTGAGACTATCAGCTTGGTTAATTAAAGAGGAATTATTTTTCTTTTATAGCATTCAGATTGGAAAAAAAGATGATGCACAGCACAAAACGTAGAAACCCAAAGGCCTTACCAAGACCTTCTCAAGATGAAGCACAGAATCGACAGGTGCCAAAGTCTTGCAACCAACAGAGCAGAATCAACTATAGCAACTTTCTATCTGGGACATTATTTTCCCAAGCAACTGGTGAGCGCACCAACTACATGTTAATGCTGCAGCTTGAAAGAGTTCTGCGCATTTAGAGCTGTATCAGGCACCTTTCAGTATTGTAACTGTTCATGATGAAGAAAAGCTCATCCACTGAAATAAGAATTAAAATTCTTTCTGCTACCAGAAGACTTCTGCCACAGTTTTTTAGTCAACTTCATGGTTTTTTTAAACCTTTCTTCAAGGACACAGAACAGTCCCACTGTGCTGAATCCTGGCCATCCTGCCAAGCTTTCCGTTGGAGCTCACTTCGCTACCATCTATTTACTTCACCACACGTCGTGTGTGCTTTAGGTAGTTTTGGCTTAAGCTTAAACAGCAAATGAGAAGAGACAGCTGCCTCTCCGCAGGAACTTCTCACTGGTGACCCTGGGGGCTGAGTTGGCAGAACTATCTGGACTTATAAGAAGGCTGTTCTACAAAACAGCGTTAGAAAACTCTATTCACATATTAACTGGAGTAAAATATTTACCTCAGATCAGGAAGTATTGTATTTTTTGATGAAGAAACAGGTTCTGTACTCGAGCAGATAGTTTTATGGCATTTTAAAGCTGACCTAATATGCCTACCTTGATTTAAAATAAAAAGACATCCCAATTCCTTTCACTAAGAAGTGAACTCTGCCAATAAAAAGGGCCTGAAGACTGAAATAAACTCACTTTAACAGTACTGAAAGGGAACAGATCTTCTCTTTAAAAGCCTTGTATACAGGGGTACTCAGATGGTTGTTAAAGTAAAAACAACATACAACAATATTTGCAAAAAAGCTTAATATAATCTTTGAGTCTATAAACTCCAAACAATAAATACGAAGTGTACATGGCACACCAGAGCAGCTAAATATTAAAACAAACAAGTACAAATCAATAACACTTACCTATATTGTCACTGATAAATTTGTCACTACTGTGATACAACACAAGCTTAATATACAAGGCATTTTTCCAAAGGAAAACCAGAGAACCAAGTTGATACAGAAGGTAAGGGAGAAGGGGAGACAAGTAACAAGGCACAAAAAACCTCTCTTGCTCCAACCCTGTAAGGCACCACTGTGCAAACGTGAAACTATCAAAACCTGTAGTGAAGTTCTAAATGTGTTTAAATGACTGGATAATGTATTTTGAAGATGACACTATGCTCATATCTTTGGGAATAAAAATACTTACAAACCTTTATTTACACTTATAGGCTTTTAAAAAACAAATTAGTGAAACAGGTGAATTGATACTCAAATACAGGAGTCAGTTAATTTCTCCCAGACAGCTTCACAAGTGCAACTTGGTCATGACCTATACTGGCCTTGTTAATAGAGTCCTGGATCCAATATGGTGCAGAGGGAAATGCTGCCAATTATGTCAAATTGTGTGTGGCACACCAGTCATTTTAACAAAACAGACTTCAGGGATTAGGGTGAGAATAAACTGATTTTCACTTGTAACCAAAAATGATTTAAATCCAGAGAAAAGGTCAGTAGCATTAATCTAACATCATACCTACAGCTCTTAATACCCAAAGTTTTAATTAATACTTCTATTTAAGAACTGGGCACTGGCATTTCTCTCCTATTCTGTTATCTGCTCAGAAAATCCATCATGAGACAAACTTCAGCAAAAACCTTCTCTCTTACGAGAAGGTTACAGATACATAATTAAGCTTACAAACTAAGTTCCCCCTTTTTTCTTATGTCCCATGATCTCTACTGCATCCCGCTAGAAGAAGTTTTTGTCTTCTCTCCAATTACATAGAAGTCCCCAGATTGTACTGAAATTACTTAAAATATGCACAGATTGGACAAGTTTTTGCAAAATGAGAAGGGGGTTTCACTAAAAACTAAGATTTTCTTCTAATGAAAGATTTAGGAGGCGCTCAGTTTCTCATGAGCTTCAGACACATGAATGACTTCTGTACTTGGGAACAATGTCAGTAGACTACACTTCCAAAACTTCTGCTTCCATTCTTGCAACTTGAACAACCGCACAGCACATAGTAAACAATCTGAATGAACTTGGCAATTCAGTTATTGGCTAAGTTTTGTTTTCTTACATGACATGTTTTACTCTTTTCACTCTACACTTAAATATCTTGCCACAAATCAAAACATTTAAGGTCAGACACAACCTGTAGCTTCAACGATGCTCAATCTACTGAGCGGCCAGAGAAGAAAATCAGGCCAACTATTACATTTTAAACAACAGAGGAACTGGAAAAAAGAACAGTCTTCTGTGATAAGTTAACATTCATACAGCTATTTGCTGAAAGGCTGTGCCAGCTTCGGCATGCTTCATCCCTTATATTCAGTCCTGTTTTAAGGAAATAACAATTTGAGCAAATACAATGTAAACAGAGCCAGGTAGACTGCAATAGTAAAGGACAACAATATCATTGATCTGACAGGTTTAAGGCCAACTATTTATGATTTGAAATATATCATACTTTTCCATGGCACTTAATACACTGAAAGTTAGTACTGGGTGACATTAAACAAGGGTATAGATATCCGTATCATATGTGATATATACATGTAGCTTCAGTTCCTAAAATAGAAAGTTCAAGTTTTCTTGCCCAAGTAAAATCAATCCATGAAAGACCACCTGTGTTTTGCTATACTGAATAAAGTAATATTACTGTTTTAATCAATTTAGTGCAAACTGACTTAAGTCCAAAGACATACCATTCCTTGATTTTTAGTCACTACTTACCAAATGCCCCTATTTCTTTAAAACACAAATACACTTTTTTTTTTCCTTAAAAGAACAGCAAACACTTGACAACTAGCATACTGTTCTAGTCTACGTTAACAAAACTTGCCGATATACAAATCATGTTTTGGTCATGCAGCACAGACCCATCCTCAAAATAATTCAATCAGTCAATCAGAAGAGGAGCACAGTGCCGGATTTTAATTAGCAGGTCATCCTGGCCACTCCGTACTCCAAGCTGACAACAGCAGGCTCAGCTTTCGAGAACTCTGCCACAAATTCACTGTAGCGATTGTCTGCTGTGTTGCTGCCCTCTATAGTTCTTACAGCATCATTCACAGGGATCAGTGGCTGCTCCTTCTTGAAGCGTGGAGGGGTCTTCAGTGCCATGGGTGCAGGATGAGCAGACTGCTGATGTTCCTTCACAAGGACTGCATCTGACTGCCCATTTCTCCGCTTTATTTTCTGAAATATAGAGAATAGTTACTAACAGCGAGCATGACTGCTTTACTGATAATATTCTGCTTTGAAAGGAAGCGAATCCACTTCTTTCGCTGGCCAACTCAGCGTCTGCAAAACCCTGTATTACATACCCTAGGTTAGATATGTAACAGTATTACTAGGTGTTAGGCCATTGGATAAGACATTTTTCCCCACAGTTTACAGCAGATGCCACAAGCACTGTAAGCTTAAAATTTGCAGCTGAGCAGAAGGCAGAAAGGTTGCCTGTTGATGTCTGTAGAGAAGGAGAGTTTCTTCCAGGCTTGCCCCTTGTTTTGTTGCTATCAAGATGGGAATACTTTCTGGAATACAGGCAGAGGAAGACAGACCTTGGTACTATTAACAAGCAGGGAGCTTGCAGTAGACCACGAGTCTTAGAGATAAAAAGCAGTTTCATACCTAAGCTCTTATGTCCTTCCTAAAAACCTTCTAAAAGACTTTTCCTTTAGATCTGAAAAGTGCCAATACAGTTTGTTCAAATGCAGGAATACACTAAAAGATGTCAACCAGAAAACAGGACTGGAGGAAAGGACCTATCCTGCAAGCACTGAGCAAGAGAAGAAGAAAGATTTGGATTAAGAATTTTTTTTTTTTTAATTCAGACAATCTCAGCCAGTAACTAGTTCAAGCTCCCAGTTAACTGAACTGATTTTTTTTGTCTCTTGACACCAACTTTTTGAAGATGGAAACATCAGTAGGAAAGTCTACATCAAGATTTCAACCAACTACATCTCTTCATCACTCAAGTGAGAAATGTGGGCTCAGGTGAAGTTAACACCTTGGAACAAGGTTCTAGAATATTCAAGACTGAGACTTCACTTTACATCTTGCTTATTCTTCAGCTTGCTTCATCTTGAGTTTTCATCTTGCTGCTTCAATTGTATGAAAACTTTTAAATATACAGTTATTATTTGAAACAGTTTAAGTGACCTGCATTCATTACAGTAGAATCAGTTTAGTAGTCTTTCTTCCTAGAAAAGCTGTATTTCTCCCCTCCCCCCCCAACATAACATAAAGGAGTTGTGTTACCATTTCTAGACACACAAAGTAGTAAAACTGATAATTAGAAAACTTTTGTGTTTCTTAAAAGGTATTATTCTGAAGTTTCAGCACCATAACTGACTATAATGAAGTATCAATTAAAAGCCACTGATTAAGTCATACTAGAATAAAGTGAGATACACTATTCAGTCTTTCCTGCCTGTTTACTGTAGCACCTAGTAGAAGTCACTTATAGAAATCTGACCTCTGGATTTAGCCTCGTCTTCAAATAAGCACTACAATGTATATGCCCCATAATTATGGTGACTGACAACAGCATGCACCTGCATATGAAGTTAAAAGAAGGATAATACTGCTTCCATTTTAGTAGCTATAATGGAAATAAAACATTTTCAGTCTCCTTGGTTTAGCAACACAGCTGTAGCTATGATGGGTACCTTGTTATCTAAGATAATGTAGGTTAAATTTAATGTGAAACTTAAGCCATCTTCAGTAATGCTTTGATAGTGGGAGCACTTTTACAGAATACAGTTCATCAGTAAAGCAAAATAAATTGTGCCTAAAAGCAAAACATTGGCTGCACAGTCTGGCATTCAGCATAGAAGCATACAGTGAAAGTCAAAGTCAACATTACATAGAATAAGTGCTAGGCCATACAGTAGTGACATTCGTGTGAAAGCTAGCAGCATTATTACAGACTGTAAGTGTGATTTTGAAGAACAAGTCACAAGTACACACACTTATTTGGTAATACTTACAGCTTCCAGTTCTTTAATGTCTTCCTCAAGTTGTTTATTTTGTTCACTCATGTTCATTATAAGATTGAACACAGATTGCCTGGGATGCATACTTCGATCAAACTGATGGTACATATTTCTCCAAAACCTGCATGGAGCAGACAGTTTTAACTACACAGGATAAGAACAAAATTGAAGAAGATACACTGTATATAATTTAACCTTACTTAAAATTGAATGATATTGTATTAGGCTCCAAAAGAGTTAGTTCTGGAGAAAAGTCTGGATTATACAGGGGATTCCGATACTTCTTTTGTTCATCCAGAAGGAATGGCCACAAGGAATAGGTCTTCTCTTTCAATCTTAAAGCAAGAAGAGATCAAGATCAAGACACTGACTGCAAGCAAAAGACAGAAGCTGTTCAACTCAACATAATAAATTGATCTTAACTTTTCAAAAAGTTACCAGAAATACTTATAAATGTTGTATTAAAAGCTCTTAGTAAAATCAACTTCCTCCTGGCGTATGCTAATGTTGGATAGAACTATCAGTTTTAGAAGTACTACTGCTTATGCTGTGCAAGTTTTGCCTAGTTGCAATAAATGCTTTTAAAATACAGTTTGAGACAAAGATGAACTGATGAAAACTTTACAGAAGTTTTCCAACTGAAAGCATTAGGAGACATCCTATTAATACTTTGACAGTAGTTAGTCTTGAGCAGGCAAGAATTTTAAAGGTTACCTAGAAATAGATTGGGGGAGGGAATGAAGTGATACTTCCAAACTTTTGCTTACGTTTGGGTTTTTTTTGGGGGGAGGGGGGGGGCAGGGGGAGAAGCAGCCTTATCTTTCCCTATGAAAAATGAGCATGGAATTTTCTTCCAGAATTAGAAAGATTGGTCTTCAGTATGCAAAAGCACAAGAAGCACTGCTGTTCCCTGATGCAGTTTAACATTTTCAGTACTACCAGTCCTGTCTCTATTTTTATTCAGAGCCTAAAATGAAGAAGAGTCACAGGAGTTCTTAGTCCGCCAGAATAAAGAAAAGACACATTACAATATGCCTGCTTACTTTAGTTCTTCTCGCTCTTTTTGGCAGTTTCCAAGGAAGTTACCAAACTGGCATGAATGGACATGTTCATGGATCTGAAGGAGGAAAGCTTCATTGTACTCAAAGGCTTGTGGAAACTGCTCCGTCAGATTCCACACACTTTCTAAAAACTGGGTGAACACTGGTGAGATCTCTTTTGGATCACCATCCAACTGACAACACCTGAAAAAGATTCCATAAACAGATTGAAACCGGTTTAAGTTAGAAATTAAAAGAGTCTTAGTTGCACTTGTTTTTACATGACAGCACGTTAATTTGACACTAGCTTTGGTTTGGAGATTGAGCACCTAACTTTGAGAACTGGGGCAGTTTTTGAATAGAAAGAAGTCTATATTTAAGCTATTTTTCTGACTTGTAAGTAATCACACGTCTGTATTCAGTACAGAAAAGCAACATAAGACAGTTAAGTTCCTTTGTGCCTATTACTTCCATAGTCAACATTTGGAGTATACCAGCTAAAAGCAAATTAATAAGCAGTAAATAGCAGCAAGGCTATTGTCATAGCTGATGATAGGCGGATCAAGGAAAAAACAGAACTCAACATACAGGACTTCTAAAGGTAGGCATTACTTCATCATTAAAAGTAAACATAAATGTAAACTCATTTTTAAAGATATCAAAACTAAGTGTTTTATATTGCCTAAATAGCTGGGATGTAGCTTTAGATTGACTGCGGCTAGGTCTGCATGTATGCAGACAGTGCAAAGCATCAACATCAGAGTAAGGCACCAGTAGCACTAGAAATTTAGGTCTGCAATATAAATCAATTATCCAATAGGTATTTAAATAAATAGCAATACACAAAGTGCATTGTCTACTGAAGATAGCTTACTCACTGCAAAGTTACTAGCAACACTACAGTAGTTTAACATCCACAAGTTGTCTTTTGTTTTTAAGACTACTTAGTTCAGGTTCACTGTGTACATTTTACTGTATTGAAAGAGTGAACTACCTGTCAGAGAACTTGTGCCCAAAGGAGATCCAATCTTTCTCTATCAAGACCTAGAAGGTAAAAAAAAAAAACAAACACTAAAATCTCATGTAAAATGTTACTCAATCTTACATCTATAGTATTAACCCCACAGGTTATCGATATATTGTATTTTGAGTCAAATAGTTGCTCCTACTGTAGTTTGTCACTTTGTAGTTCCTTTATTTTCTTGGAAGTCTTTCACTAGAGATTCTCAAAGCACATTTCTAAAACTAGTAAAAGAGTTTAGCAAGTTGACAATTGGATAACTGCTGTTAAGCCAGGCTCGCTTTAAGCATACTAATGTCGAATGGCTTCACAAGTAGATTATCAACCGGCTTGCAAGAAATTGCGAAGTATAAGAAAAAC